CACTTGTTGAAAAACATCTTGGTTATTTTCAGGTTTTGACACCACAGATAAACAGTATGTTTTTGTGTGAATATAAGTTTTCCAATTCACTTGGATAAATATCTGGGTGTATGAATGCTAGGTCACATGGGACTTGGTTGTTTAACTTTAAAAACAAAAGCCAAACTATTGGACAAAGCAGCTGTATGATTTTGCAGCAATTTTAAAATTATTTTTTATACTAGCCATTCTAACATGTATGTATCAGTATGTGCTTGGGGTAGTAATGGTCATTTTTCCTAACAGCTTTTTATAGAGCAAAAATTTTTATAAAGCTGAATTTATAAAATTTTTATTTTACACTCAGTACTTTTGCTATCATGTCTAAAAATTCATTACCAAAACCAAGACTGCACAAATTCTGTTCTATGTTTTTTTCTAGAAGTCTTATAGTTTTATGTTTTACATTTTTGATCTATCATCCAGACTGGTTTATTTTTTATGAGGTATGTGTAAAGGTTCTTTTTTTTTCTTTCTTTTTTAAATCTGGTTGTCTAATTGTCCTATCACCATTTGTTGTTAAGATTATCCTTTTTCCAGTGAATTATCTGAACTTTTGTCAAAAATCACATTTGAAGTTTGTATTTTGTTTCACTGATCCAATGCCTAACCATTTCCTAATGCCATTCAATCCTGATTACTATTGCTGGTTAGTTAAGTCTTAAGATCAAGCAATGTGAGTCCTTGAACATATCCTTTTTAAGAACTATCTGGCTTGTTTTTCCACAATACTACTTAAGTGGTACCCATGCTCCTCCTGCAGGGGACCAGCATTGCTCATCAGCAAGCCAGCAGCAGTACTGGCTGGGCCACAGGCCCCTGCCCACCACCCCCCCCACAGCAGCTGCAGCTCAACCACAGCGCAAGGTGCACACAGCTCACACGGCGGATACCCTAGAGCACCTGGCTTTGGTGACAGGGGAACTGGACTACTGAGCCCACAAGACACCTTCTGTGTTAGGCCACTCTTTCAAGACCAGGAAACACAGTGTATACACCTAATAATAGAAACACAGAAAGTTAGGCAAAATGAAGAGACAAAGAAGTACCTTTCAAAGAGACAAAACCTCAGAAAATGAACTAATTAACAAAACAGAGATTATCAATTCACCAGATAGAGTTTAATGTAATAGTCAAAAAGATGTTCACTGAACTCTGGAGAAGAATGGATGAACTCAAGGGAGAACTTCAACAAAGAGAAAATATAAGAACCAATAAAGACTGAAGATCACAGTAACTGGAGTGAAAAGAAAACTACAGAGAATCGACAGACTAGAGAATGCCAAAGAATGGATCAGCAACCTGGAAGACAAAGTAGTGAAAATCACCCAATTAAAAGTGAAAAGACTGAAAAAAATGAGGGTAGTTTAAAGGATTTCTGGGACAACATCATGCACACTAATATTCTCATAACAGCGTTTCCAGAAGCAGAAGAGAGAAAGAAAAGAAAACCTAAAGACAAAATGGCTGAATACTTGCCTAACTTATCAAAGGAAAAGCCATTCAAATATAGAAAGCATATACTCCCATACAAAATGAAATGAAAGAGACCCACACCAAGACACAGTATAACTGTCAAAAGTTAAACAGAGAATTTTAAAAGAATCAAGACAAAAACAACTCATGACATACGAAGATGATCAGAGGATACTTCAGCAGAAAATTCACATGACAGGTAAAGGAGAGATACGGTTTCCCAGATGTTCAAAACGTTCAAAAACCAAAGGAGTTCATCACCACTAAGCTGGCCTTATAAGGAATGTTTAAAGGGGCTTCCTTAAATGGAAAAGTAAGGCCATAGCTAGAAATAAGAAAATTATTTAACAAAACAAAAACCTCACTGGTAAAGAAAAACACATAGTAAAAGTAGTGGATCATCTACTATTAAGCTAGTATGAAGGTTATATGCTGTCTACAAGACACTCAGTTCAAATCGAAACACACATACAGACTGAAAATGAAGAGATGGAAAAAGATATTCCAGGCAAATGGAAATGAAAAGACAGCTGGGACAGCAGTACTTTGATAAAGGAGACTGTAAAACAAAGACAAAGAAAGACATTACAAATAATAAAGGGAAATGTTATCTTTTATTTGGATGCTACTTAAAAAAAAATCAACTACTGGCAATTAACCAATTCAATATAAGCCAATCTGATACTGGAATATAAGTTAATGTTAAAAATGTGATTAGGACTTGTTTGGTTTTTTGGAACAATGTTTTTTGTAGTTTGACACATAATTATAAAGTATTTGGCAGGAAGGATAAATTATTTCTGGAATAAACCTTATTTTATGATGTGAATTCTAAAAAGTTTACTGAATAGTTTTCCCTGAATACTCTCATTCTTTAAAAGTACTGTCATTAAATAAATGAAGAACCCAAGAGTATCAAGTCATAGGCAGTGAAGACCCAAAATTCCTGAAACTTTTGGGATTATATGTGTTATTTAATTTTTAAAAGCATCTAATGTTCACAAGAAAATTGAGAGGAAGGTATAGAGATTCTCCTAAACCCCCGCTTCCACATATGCAATGCCTCCCCCATTATCAGCATCACTCTTAAATGTGTTTTAAATTTCAGATTATGGAAATAAACTGCATACTATGTAGTAACTGTTGGAATTGGGGCAGTATCCCACAATATAATATTAACATTTCTACAACTAAATGGATAAACAGTTATACAGACTTAGATTTTTAAAAAGGGCTATGAATATCAGTTCAAATGAGGTCCTGCTGTCAAGAGTTGTTGATCTGTATGATTTATAAGATGTTATCATCAGTTTACCGACGATGAGTATGTTCCTGGAAGGTATTTTGTAACTTAGGAGAATCACATCCTAATTGGTATCAAAATGAAAGCTGATTACATTAAGTCTCCTACGTGTGAATGAGTTCCATTCCAAGAGCATGTTCATGAGTCCCATTTGTTTGTAAGTCCAACAAAGTCAGCCTAGGTACCCAATTAACACAATTGGCTATATAGTACTGCATTGTGATAGGTTTGTAATACTTTTCACACAAGTAGTACATAAGCAACAAACAGAAAAAAAAACAGTTTTCAGTTTACTTAAAAAAAAAAAATTTTAACATAGTACAGTAGTACAAGAACAACAGCTGGCATGGAGTCAAAAGGCGAGAAGAGAGTTCCTGACTGGAGGAGGAAGTGGGGGTGAGAGATGGTAGAGCTGAAGCGGCGTCAGCAACAGGTGGAGGGAAAGCTGCAATTTCACTCACACCTGACTTTGAAGGCACAGGTTCTGGTTCCTTGATGGATTGAATTTTATTTGCTCTCTTGAAAAAAATGGCCCAGTGGTATCTTGGCAGTGAGTGGACGCTTGCATCTTTGAAGGTTTGCAATTCCAAGGTTTATATGTAGAGGAGTTAATTTTATTCCCCTTATGCAGACACAAGGACTTGTGCGTCACATTGTTAGCCACTCCCCTTAAGCGAATGTATTAGATATAGTTTGTCTGTTTATTCTTGAAAAAACTGTGTGAACAGCAAAAGGATGTACATGGTACCTTGCAGATCAGATATACTCAATAAACGGCCATTTCAAAACGAAACAAAAAAATTACTTGTTGGGATTTTAACTGTAATAAATGTATAGATCAAAATGTAGAGAATGGACATCTTAATAGTACTGAGTTGCTCATTCCATGAACACAGTGTATTTTTCCTTTTGTTCAAGCCTTTGATTTCTTTCATACAAATTTTAGCATACAGAGTCTATGGATACTTTGTTAGCCTTATTATGTAAGTATTTTATTTTTGTTTGTTGAGTGCTACTGTAAATGATATATATATGTATTTTTTAAAATTGTTCATTGTAGGTATAAAGAAATATGGTGCACTTTTATACACTCTGTATCCTCTGACCTTGCTAAATCTCCAGCAATTTTATAGGTTTTTTTTTTTTTAGATTTCTTCTATAGATGATCATGTTGTCTGTGACAGCTGAAATGAATCTAATGATCTATGTTTAAAATAAAATCAAAATACCATGTCAAATAATGTAGTTCTAGTATATATCCACCATGATCCACCAAACAATGTTCTATTGGTCTAGTGATGTTTAAAACACAAGTGGCAAGATATCAAAATATCTGTTTTATACTTTTCTGAAGTAAGCAACGATAGGAAAGCCAGATACAGGAAAGACTGGACTGCTATATAATGTCATAGATTGCGTGGCTTAAGTAACAGACATTTATTTCTCATTGTTCTTTCTGAAGGCTGGAAAATCCAAGATCAAGTTGCCAGATGATCTGGTTCCTGGTGAGGACCAAATTCCTGGTCTTATCCCCCCTTCTTGATGTGTGTTCACATGGCCTTTCTTTGGTGTGTGCATACAGAGATTTCTCTTTCACTTTTTAAACCACATCTTGAGGGTCCCAACTTCATGACCTAATTTAAACCTTAATACTTTCTAAAGGTCTTACCTCTAAATACCATCACACTGAGGGATGGGATTTTAATATATGAATTCTGGAGGGATACAAATATTTAGCTCATAACAGGCAATAAACAAGTAAGCCCCAGGACAAGCAGCTGTGAAACTAATTAGAAATGAGGGTTTCACTTTAAAACTGATTCTCAAAATCAAAGTTGTAATTCACCTCCCAGCTTTAACTTAAGTGTGTGAAAAGAAGAGCTAGTCTTCTTTGGGTCTTTCCACTTATGCATGAATACAAACAATCAAATTTCTGTCCATTTTGATTTTTGCTAATGAGTTGATTTTTAACACAATATCAATCAGACTCATATTAGTATGTATTTTGTTACCTGAACACTATTGACAGGAGTGTTTCAATACTGACCTACATAACAAATCGCTGGCCAAAGGTGTTAGTTTCTGCAAAAATACTACGGTCAATAATGTTTGTTAAGACGGTGTTTATAGTGTCTTATGTTGCTCAATGATGAAATATTTCCTTAAGGAACAAATCACTCACCAGTAAGCAGGCTGGGATAAAACCTTCATCTGTACAGTGTTCTGCATATTCTTTTAAGTCTGAACTTTCCAAAATAAAAGCCTGGCAGGTAGAAGTAAGGTTCTCCTGTTGTAAGTATCCTAAACGAAAAATGAAATGTAATTCAGTAATATCAATAAATTCTGAACTTTTGATTAAAACTGCTGTTGAAAACACTACAGCAATTTCGTATCAGAGATGCAACTTCAGGTGAACATTATGGAATTCTGCAGCCTTGCCAGAAACGCCAATTTGGGCTGAAGTACAAAGCAGAATTTGTAAAATAGCTGTTTAAAAGAAAAACTCTAGTTAGTAGGCTATAAAGTTGTAGTAAACAGAGTATTTAGTATGGTACTGGCATAAAAACAGACCAAAGGAACAAAATTGAGAATCTAAAAGTAATACCCAGCATATATGGTCAACTAAATTTGACAAGGAAGCCAAGAACACTTAATGGAGAAAAGACCATCTCTTCAGTGAACTGTGCTAGGAAAACTGTATATTCACATGTAAAGAAGTGAAACTAGGCCCTTGTCTTACAACACTCATGAAAAGTAACTTGAAATGGACTCAAGACTTAAACATAAGACCTGAAAGCATGAAATTCCTAGAAGAATATAGGAAAAAGCTGCCTGACATGGGTCTTGGCAATGATTCTCTGGATTTGACATCTAATGCACAAGTAACAAAACAAAATAAACACGGTGGAATATATCAAATCAAAAAGCTTTTGCACAGCAAAAGAAACCATCAACAAAATGACAAAAACAACCTATGGAATGGGAAAGTATTTGCAAATATCTGATAAGGGATTCATAACCAAAGTAAATAAAGAACTCAATACAATTCAAGAGCAAAAACCAAATTATCCAGCTAAAAATAGGGTGAAAGACCTGAACAGACATTTCTCTGAAGAAGTGAAAGGTCATCTGATATGTGAAATGATGCTTAACATCACTAGCCATTAGGAAATACAAATAAAAACCATGATGAGACAGCATTTCATGGCTTTTATAATGGTCATCACCAAAACAGACTCACTTAATAGAATAATCTCCAAGTCCAGTCATGCTGCTGCAAATAGCATTATTTCCTCCTTTTTTATGACTGAGTAATATTCCTTTGTATATATGTCCCACCAGACATCTGCCAGTGGACATTTAAGCTGTTTCCATGTCTTGGCTGTTGTGAATAGTGCTGCTATAAACATAGGGGTATGTGTTATATCTTTTTGAATTACCATGCTGTCTGGATATATGCCCAGGAGTAGGGTTTCTAGATCATATGGCAATGCTATTTTTAGTTTTTTAAGGAAACTCCATACTGTTTTCCATAGTGGCTGCACTGACCTACATTTCTACCAACCATGTAGGAGGGCTCCCTTTTCTCCACACCTTCTCCAGCATTTGTTGTTTGTGAAACTTATTAATAATGGTCATTCTGACCAGTGTGTGAGAAGGTACTTTATTATAGTTTTAATTTGTTATTTCTTAATAGTTAGTGTAGCACTGTTGAACATCTTTTCAGTATATGAATGCTCTTATTTCAAGAACACTATATGTGCTATTGCCTTTGTGTGGGCAGCTTATCTTTTCTTAGCTTGTGTGTAAATGTTAGTCGCTCAGTTTTGTCTGACTCTTTGCAACCCCATGGACTGCAGCCCACTAGCCTCCTCTGTCCATGGAATTCTCCAGTCAAGAATACTGGAGTGGGTATTTGTTCCCTTCTCCAGGGAATCTTCCCGACCCAGGGATCAAACCCAGGTCTCCTGCATCACAGGCAAATTTTTTACCGTCTGAGCCACCAGGCAAACTGAAGAGTACTAGAGTGCGTAGCCATTTCCTCCTCCAAGAGATCTCTTTGACCCAGGGATTGAACCTGGGTTTCCTTCATTGTAGGCAGATTCTTTACCATCTGAGCCACCAGGGAAGCTCCAAAGGGAGAGGTTCGAGTCGTTGCTCTTTTTAGTTGCTAAGTTGTGTCGACTCTTTTGCAACCCCATGAACTGTGCATAGGATTTACCAGGCAAGAATACTGGAGTGGGTTGCCATTTCCTTCTCCAGGGGATCTTTCTGACTCAGGAATTGAATCCGCAGCTCCTGCTATGTCTCCTGCAATGCAGGCAAGTCCTTTACAGCTGAGCCACTGGGGATGTTCTTTCTTAGCCAAGCTAATTCCAACTCATTCTTCACGTCTACTGAAGTAACTGTCACTTCTCAGAGAATTTTTTCTTTGAATTCTCTATATACCATACTCCTATTACAAGATACTAGATTCCCTTTATAGTATTAAAGGTGTACTAACACTGAGGTGTTAATAACTACTAAGCCAATTTTTGGGCTTCTGAGGTGGCAGTAATGGTAAAGAACCTGCCTGCCAATCCAGGAGACAAAAGAGACACAAGTTCAATCCCTGGGTTGGGAAGATGCCCTGGAGGAGGGCATGAGAACCTACTCCAGTATTGTTGCCTGGAGAATCCCATGGACAGAGGAGCCTGGCGGGCTACAGTCCACAGTCATACAGTCGGATCAACTAAAGTGACTAAGCATGCACGCATGCAAGGCAATTATTACTAATGTCTTTCCCAACTTTAAAATTATAAAATTTACCTAGAATAGTATCTTTAACTAGGCCAGACAAGTCAAAAAATTGAGAAGGCCTGCAAAGTTATTATATATGAGCATTAAAAAAAGAAAAGGGCAAGGAAATTGTCCCATTTTAGGGAGAAGGAAATGGCAACCCACTCTAGTACTTTTGCCTGGAAAATTCCATGGTCAGAAGAGCCGGGGGCCCTACAGTCCATGGGGTTGAAAAGAGTGAGACACTACAAAGCACACACACACATATGCACTGGCTGGGATGTTGGCACCCATCCACCAGTGGCTCAGCGGTAAAGAATCCATCTGAAATGCAGGAGACACAGGAGACCCGGGTTCGATCCCTGGGTCGGGAAGATCTCCTGGAGGAGGAAACGGCAACCCACTCCAGTATTCTTGCCTGGAGAATTCCATGGACAGAGGAGCCTGGTGGACTCAGTCCACAGGGTCACAAATAGTCAGACATGACTGAAGTGACCATGCATGCATGCATGCACCAGTTTGTACTCAAAGCTGATGAATCAGTTTTCCAACCTCTTGCTAATTAACGCTATGGAAGAAATAAACATACCAAAGACACCATCGTTTGGAATGTGAGAAAACACTTAGAAATCAGAAGAAACCTTTTATTTCAGATACTACTATTTCAATATCCCCGTCACTGAAAATATAAAATCACCTTTGATGTGAAATTAGGTGGATCAAAGATGGCTATTTCCCTGCCTTTTTTTTCATTTTTCACAAATAAACAATCCAATATAAACCCTTATAAAAACTATAGCCAGCTGAAATCAATTTTTATGATTGGCCTTCTGACAGTCACATTATTTGGAATAAGTTAAGTCAGCCACCACTAGGATTTCATGAATTTAGAAATTGAGACCACTATAGTCCACTATAGAAATTTAGACCACTATAGCCTATAGACCACTAGAGTCATTGTGGAAAGAGGGCAGTCAGCGATTTTTCTTTATATGCTTCAAAATTTAAATTGAAGACCCCAAACTGTTTCTTTTTATGGTAGAAAGTTTTACAGGTACTACTCACCCCACATACACTGGTAATCACTTGGGGCTTGTAATAAGTAATGGCATGAAATCTAATTCCTTAAAGTAGATTTGCTTTTCTCTAGACCAAGTATTCTCAAAAACAGTGACAGCCCCAAGGGGGTGACAACTGGTACTGGGGAGGAAAGAGAATGAATAAAATATGTCTTTTATGCATAAATCACAGGTATACATACAATATATAAAGTCTATTTGTAACTTGGCTTAAAACACAACATTAAAAAAACTAAGATCATGGCATCCGGTCCCAACATTTCATGGCAAATAGATGGGGAAACAATGGAAACAATGACAAACTTTATTTTCTTGAGCTCCAAAATCACTGCAGATGGTGACTGCAGCCATGAAATTAAAAGATGCTTGCTCCTTGGAAGAAACGCTGTGACAAACCTAGACAGCATATTAAAAAGCAGATACATTTCTTTGCTGACAAAGGTCCACCTAGTCAAAGCTATGGTTTCTCCAGTAGTCATGTATGGTTGTGAGAGTCAGACCATAAAGAAATCTGAGCGCTGAATTGATGCTTTTGAACTGTGGTGTTGGAGAAGACTCTTGAGAGTCCCTTGGACTTCAAGGAGATCAAACCAGTCCATCCTAAAGGAAATCAGTCCTGAATATTCATTGGAAGGACTGATGTTAAAGCTGAAACTCCAATATTTTGGCCACCTGATGTGAAGAGCTGACTCATTTGAAAAGATCCTGATGCTGGGCAAGATTCAAGGCAGGAGAACAGGACAACAGAGGATGAGATGGTTGGATGGCATCACCAACTTGATGGACGTGAGTTTGAGCAAGCTCTGGGAGTTGGTGACGGACAGGGAAGACTGGCGTGCTGCAGTCCATGGGGTCGCAAAAGTCAGATACAACTGAGCAACTGAACTGATACTAATATCTGGAACTGAACTGATACTAATATCTGGAACACTAAAATTTCATGCAAGGGGTAATTAGGGAAAATAGTAAAGTAAGGTTTGAGAAATACGGCCCAAGACAGAATGTAATGATATAATGGTAACTTTTCTAGAAAATATGGTGGGAATTCCCTGGTGGTCCAGTGGTTAAACTCTGTGCTTTCACTGATGAGGTCTGGGGTTCAATCCCTGTTTAGGCAACTAAGATCCTACAAGCAGTGTGGCCAGAAAAAAAGAATCACCAAAGCCTAGACAGTTTTTGGCTTCTCATATTATAGTTTTGTATAGTCTACATTTGAGTAAAGGCTTTGTTAAAAAGCTAGAATGTCTTTTAACAAGTGTTTAAAAACTTAAAATGCATCTTTAAATAGCAGTATCTGAGACATATGTCTTTTGCTGTTAAAAAAAAAAAAAAAAAAAGCCCAACTTTGGACTATCTAGAATACCCATTTCAGGTTCGATGTATTGTTTACTTTTGTCCAGAAAGTTCCAAAATGATGTTACAGTGACAGATGACTGCTTTATG